CGCACGCACGCACGCACGCACGCACGCACGCACGCACGCACGCACGCACACGCACGCTCACACGCACGCACGCACACGCACACGCACACGCACACACGCACACGCACACCCACCCACCACCCCCCACGCACCCACCCACCCACCCACGCAACGCACGCCCGCCCGCCCGCCCGCCGCGCCCGCGCTCCGCTCCCGCGCGCGCGCACGCGCGCCCGCGCGCAAGCGCACGCACACGCCCGCGCCCGCGCCCGCGCGCGTGCGTGCACGCGAACCCACACACGCACCCGCACATGCAGCCACACAGACACACCCACACAAAAGACAAACAAACGAACGAATAAATAACCAAACAACTATATTGTATTTACTTCGATCCTCCCCACCCTACGTCTAGCTGCTGTGGGAGCCATCCTGCCGTTTTCAAGCCGGTAATTGCGGATACTTCGCCGAAGGCTTCTGTCGTTGGCTCTCTGCGGAATTCTCTGAAGGTAGGCCTCCAGGGACACTCGGCGCGACTCAAGGTGCGAACGTCTGTTGCCAGCTTGTCTGGCGGCCTTATTCTTCGGCCGTCTTCGGCTGGCCCAAGGGTTTCTCAGACAATGGGACAGTCCCCGTCTTTGCAGTACGGGCGGGAGTGAGCCGTGAGCTGAAGTTCGGTTGATACTCCAAAGGTACTCCGAAGTCGCCGAGCTCGTCCGGGGTCCAGTAGAGAGACCACGGGCAAGTACTCGTCCGACTCGTGTGTAGACAGGACTCGTATGCATTGCTCGTCCGTCTCCCATGAAAAATACGGATAACTCGAACTCCAACTCTCTGAAGTGCCATGGATGCCACGCTGATGCTATTAAAGCAGGAGAGGTGTATGATCTTCACGTGGCCGCCTGGGCCGTGCTGTCCCTAGCATTTCTGATACTTGCCCCTTGGTTCTTTCTTTTGCCAGCAGAATCAGTGCTTACACACACACACACAAGGGATCGCAAAGCGAGCTAGGGACTGAGAGGAATGCAGACTACAGGACCAGGAGAACAAAAGTCGGAGGACCAGGTCCAGCCGGCCCAGATACGAAAAACTTGGATGTACGGACAACCGCTCCGGAATCCGAAAGGAAGTACATCAACATATCCGACAGATTCCAAAAGCATTTGACAGCCCCAGCTTGCCTTTGCCAAGTCCAGAAGCTGCACGGGCGCCTTCCCCAAATCCATCAAGAAATCAGGGGCGACGGCGACAAGAATGGGCAAATACGTGTTCATGGCTTAGGCGCTTTGTGTTTGCAAAACGTTGGTGTTTGCCTGAAGAGCTTGGAAAGCAGGATCATTTCTTCGCCCCTGAGTCTGGGAGCATATTGTGGTTTGAAGGTTGACCTAGTCACCGTACTTACTCAACTCCCTGCAGCCCGGAAACTGCCAAGCCCCAACACCCGAAGCCCACGACCACTCGCCACCCCCAATGGCCTCTCCGTCGCAAACGCCCTCGCCTGGGGATTTGGCGAGCACGTGACCTGTGAGTTTGGGCTCGGAGCTTTGTAGTTCGTAGGCCTACTGCAAAGGGGGTTTCATCAAGGCAATTCAAAGCTTTCGAGAACTCACCGAAATCTCATCATCGCTTTTTCCGGCTGGACGCACGTTTTGGAGGATCCTTCGGCCCGTGGCTTCTGGTGGCGGAGCAACACGCCTTGTAAACGTTTACTGCCTCCCATGCTCGCAACCCCTGCTCAACCCTTTTTGTGAAACTTCTTCAGCCCCAAAAGGTCTTCAGAATTATGTGGATCCTTTTGGGCGCCAAACTCCTCTTCACGGTACCCTCAGAACTTCGAGAACCCATACGCAACAGATTGTGACTCGCCATATAAGACCTCTCTCTGAGCCAACTCTTACGGCTTTGGCACCTTTCCTGGACTTGCGTGACGTCGTACTGAGGGAAGGCATGCATGCCAAGAAGCGGTCGTCAGCGAATGACCGTGGACCCATGTCGCGATGGCGCCCACACTGGCGGAAGTGGAGTGCCAGTGACGACCTCTTGTAGGAATGGGGGGTGGAGCAGGGCAAAGCAGTTGGGTACGGCCAGGACTTTACTGAGTATTAGGGTTCCGGTTTCCAATGGAAAGAGCTGGGCTTGCGTCTGGGTTTCCAGAATGTGCTCAGAACCGTTTCAGACTCTTGAAGCGAGCCCCTTGCAGATGAAAATCAACGCGGCCAGGCCTCTATGCTTCGAAAAACCAACAATCAGGTGTCTAGGAAAGGAAGGTTAGCAGGTCTCTCTCAGCAGATGGAGGGGGACTTTCACAAAAAGCCGATGCATAGCGGGGACGGACATGTAATAAAGGGGACGCACAAGCTCTCGAATGGACACCCTGGTGAGGCCACCCCACCTGCACCAATTCGTAAGCGCATGTGCCATATTGCACATGAAGGCAATGCCGATGAGGTCCTGCGTCTGCATTGCGCCCCGGGGCAGAAGCACCCAATGAGTCCAAACCGCAACGCTAAGAGTTCCCGTCACGTGTGGAATCTCTGATGCTCTTCAACAATATATTATGGCGCTGGCTGTGTCCCCTGTCTGCACTCATCCCCCACCCCCGCCCTTCCCCTAAACCCTATACCCTCCACCCTACACACTCCTTACATACCTTTTGCAAAAAAACCCAACAACCTTGAACGCCGACGCCCTGAAACCCTAAAACCCGAAAACACCAAAGCTTGAGACCCCAAACCATAAACCCTCTGTAAACCCTTGACCCCGTTGGGGGGGGCGGACCACATGTGAGGGGGACCTCAAACATGCGGCGGCCACGGTCCTGGCCGTGGTGGATCCAAAAATCGGAGGCGTCGGTCTCGGATGTGCGATGACATGGCTTCAAACTTGATGCTTTGATCAGGGGAGATGGGGGGTTTACGACTTTGATATTCGGGGTGCCTTATTGGAGTCCTTATTCTAAGGGGATCCTACTATTTGGGGATCTGTATTGGGGGACCGGGGTCAGGGCCGCCGGATTCTGTGTCGACCCCATGCCAATGTGCAGATCCAGGGCACGGGTAGCCCCGACAGCCGCCGGTCCAGCTCCGCCTTCGGCAGTTGAGGGTAGGGGCATGTGAAGGCTTTGGCTGCTACCAAAACAGTATCAAAACCATGGGCCTTGCCTGAATGGCCAGCCAGGCGTGTGGAGAATGATCTACCACGTCCACGCCTGCAAGCCCAGGCGAGAGGGAGCCCTCAAACTGTTAGGCACATCTGCGCCATGTTTGCCGGGACAACCAGGCTCACAAGAAACTTCTTGGAAGTCTGGGACGGTTCAGCGAAACGCATCTAAACGCTGAACCTGCGCCCTGGCCCACAGCCAAGCACAGCCCGCGCGCCTGCAGCCAGCCGGAGCAGCTCCTATGCCGAGTTGCTTGCAAGAGCTGTGTTTCGGCTTCCATTGTTAACAGGGCAAAATGGTTTGCCGGCAACTGCTTTCGCACAATGTTGTTCAAGGTTGTATGGCCGAGGGTCGATCAGAACAGGCATCGGGTTCAGGCGATCTGTGAACAAGGTGGTATAGGGTAGGAACACACGGCATACGCCATTTAGGGCTTAGGCTTGTGGTGGGTAAGTTCGGAAGACCAAGTACAGTACCGGTCGGCATACCGTGTAGGGCTGTGTATAATGTGGAAGAGTGTCTATGCATCCATCTTCCGTCCCCTGGAGCTCGAATGAGTTTATCTGAGTCATGAGCCGCTGGGCGGTTGAATCCGGGACATACGTTTTCTGCAGCCTGGTTTCTGAATCTTGGCTTCTCGGGAAACCTGGAAGCCAAGCAAGTAAAACTCACGACTGATGATTGCCATGTGGAAAAAGGAAAATATGCCGGGTTCAAGGCTCAGCCCCACTACACTACAATGACCCCTGCAACGTCATCTAAATCTGAGGGCTTTAATTTGTTGACCCAGGCTGCAGCAAGAAACCTAGAAAGGCCTCAAGCCTGAAGTTAAAAAAGCCAAGGTCAACACCCACCATGCCTGCAGCGTCAGATGCCCAAGCCGCCGCAAGACCTCCGACTATCTTGAGTGGTTTAGGGCTTTGTAGGGCTTGGGTGGAGGGATCCTAAAGGCCGAAGCTAGGAACGAGTTTGTGTTGGGCTTGTGGTCTTCTGGGCCTGCCTGCTCCACGCTGCGCCTGCAGAATGTCGCCTCGCGCACGCCGAGCCGAGAGAGGGACCAGAGCATCTTTGCTACCTGCACTGTGCGCACTCCCCACGCCCTGAATTTCTAAATGGCACAACCACGTAAGTTGCCCAACCCCTACAAGGACAGAAAACCCCAAACACTGAAACCAGAAACTGTTGGGATTCAAGTTGGGAGCGGGCTTCTACATGGCGAAAAGGCTGATACGAGGCAGCCTGGAGGCATTTTGGGCTCCGGCACTTCGAGGTGCTGCTAGCACGGTAGCATGGATACAAAAAATAAAAGGTTCACTCACGAAAACGAGGTCTTGCCAGAGCTTACAGAACTTGGCGGAATGACGCTCACCCTTCCACAACCACCAGCAAGATCTGCGACATCTACGGCAAGAGAATGGACACTTCTGCAAAGCATAAAGCGCAACGGCGACCGGCGGCAGCAGGAATGACTCTGGAGATTCCATGCAATTTCTCCAGAAGCAGGGTACACCTAAGTCGAACAATCCACTAGCACGATAAAAAAATCTCAAGGAGTCACCAGACCTCCGAGTCCACACCCCACGTCCATGCAAAGCACCCGAAACCTCCAAACTCCCGATGCATACACCTGCAAGGCAAAATTTTACTGTCGCACACCCAAGGGAGCAAAAGGCTCTATCTCAGATCTACTTAAAATGGCATCCTGGAGACTCAACCGGGGGCAAGGCACAGGTCAGGAAGACGGGAGGGAAGCGCGCAACAAGTCAACTCGAGCCTGTCTAGGGTTGAGGGCTTTCAGGTTTCTCAGAGCTTATACCTTCTACAAACTCCATGGTCAGGCGTTGCACCTCGTGTGGCTTCTTCAAAGGCTGCTTTGCAACCTAGGCAGTGTGGCGCAAACCCTCATCACTATCACTACCAGGGGCATGCCGAATTTACAGACTGGGGAATTGCAAACTAATGGTTTAGGGTTTGTTGGACAAGGTGTCTCGCATGGAGTTGTAGCTTGGAAGGCGTTGGAACGCTTGGGGGCCTGATTCATCGGTCATCAAATTTCAGACTGGTGCAATCAAGAAAAGACGGGTGCCTGCATACCTCGGGCAGTTCTACACGGTGGCCCTGAGGATCCACGGAGTTCATGGGTCCATTCTGAGCCCTGAAGCCCTGGGCTCTAACCTCGATACTGTACTCCCACGCCAACTTCGCCCGGCCTCGCGGCAACTGCAGTGGATGACCTCGGGGTCCTGCACGCAAGGCTCAATGAGGGAGCCACGCGGGGCACCAGAAAGATTTGACTTATGCTTCAGGTGTTGGAAGGCCCCTGTGATCTTGACAAATGCGATCAACCCCCAAGTCTTCATCGATAAGCAACTTAAACCTTAAGCGGGCGCAAATAATGATGCCTGTAAGCAATTCCATGTAATTGGACCACGGCTGTACACACCCATGCACTGCTCCAAGACGGTGGCTGGAGCGCAGTGAGCAGCTCCCAGCAAAAGGCAGGGTGAAGCAAGTCTTTGTCGTTGATTCCTCACCCAGAAGGGGCCTGAAGAACCGAAGGTTAGAGTCTTTGAGTTGGAGTGAAGGTACTTTGCTTGCATGGGCCGTGATTACCTCCCCACCCACCCGCCCCAATCCCAAAGAGTGTAAGAAACAGTTTTTTGGCCCGGACCGGCCTGTGTTGGCCTAACCACATCTCTGAGCTATGAACTAACATGTCCCTGCCGGACATTCGGAACTGTGAGCTGCATTCCGCATCAGTCTCGTGCATTTCTTGGGCTGACCCCACCCCCTGCTGCCAGATTGTGCTCGACTACTCTAGCCTTGCAAGTACGGCCGTGTCACACTTTTCGCGTTATTCACTGCGCTCTGCCCTCCCTGTTGTCCATGGTGTCTCTCAGGGTCGAGTAATGCTGTTCGGTTCGGTCGATGTGTCACGAGCATAACTCGCCGAAGCGAAGCCAGGTTTCCAAGAAAAACAATACGATGACTAAACACTTCAACAACCTTGCTCCTCAATCTTGACTTTAAACTCAAGCCTTTAGCAAGTCCTCTACGCCCAGCCTTGCGAGAATGAAAAGGAAGGCAACAGGCGACCTGTGGCAAACTGCGCTCCAAACAATTTGTCGGAAGCAGGGGTATTGGGGCTTAGGATTCAACGTCGCTTAGAGTCCTCGAATGCAGGGTTCCACCGTGATGGTCCTCAATGATGCAAAGGAGTCAGCATTCATACTAAGGAAATATTCTGCACGAGTCGTGTAGAGTACACTGCCGGAGTGTTTAAGCCCTGCTCTGCACAACGTCAAGTTGGCATTGTACACTCGAAAGGGAGCTTAGGGTTTGGTCTGTCAAATTGCTTAAGTTGAGGTCCGACCATCTCTTCAAAAGCATACTTTGCAGGTGGTGACAGGTCTCTCATGGGACCAAGTGAAGTACCGGTTTGGGGCTGCACAAGTGTCTCCACGTTCTTGAGAGCTAGCTGTCGTGAGAAATTTATTGTCAATGAAATCCCACATGGGCCACATGCAGACCAGCAAGGCTTGAAGTTGGGAGCCATTTACATAACGTCAAAGACTTGCAACCGCAACTTCAACATACTGTGGAGAACTGATGAGGGTTGGAATGTCGCAAATTCAACCTTAGAATTCCTGCGACGCCTCGCAAGGAGTGGCGAAGACAGTGCCGATTCTTGACAGCCCCCAGGATGTCGGTTTAGGCTTCAGGCACTTGAAGGCGCACAAGGTCTTTTTGTTTTTCAGGCCGGAGCCTTGAGCCCGGCTTCGGCCCTCTATGGGCAACTTCGAGAAGCACTGCAAATGTTCTTCCCCCTCCCCCCCCCCGCCTGTCTATGCCAGCAGCTTCTGAGTCGATGAATGTTTCCAGCGCCTCAAGGTGACCGTGCATCTTTATCGCGCCAGGTAACGCATGGCTGTGCGGAATTGAGGGCGGCTGACAAACATGCACCGCTGGGGCTTTGAGCCCGTGTGAGATTGCGAGCCTTCGGGCCTCATGGTTTGAGTGTTCAGGGCTTTCAGGTCGGCGCGAGATAGAAACTTGGACTTTGGAGATATTGTTCACAGCTTAGTAGCAGCCAGCCCCAGTACAAACACGAAGGAAAGCGCAGGTCTGTACATGAATGTACACACTTTGGTTGTGGCAGAGGTGCAACATGCCTTGCGTCCGGCTGATCGGTCGATCAGCTGCTCGCAGATAGAAACCGAACTTGCAGCCGCAATGTACGCGCGGCGTATACATGTCCCTCTAATTCCCTGCGCCTGCTATGAGAGATCGAAGCCATCCCCGTGTAAGAAAGGGCATGCAGTTATCTAGGTACCTTTGCAACAGGGCGCCTTGCTCCAGCGCCCGCTGGTGTCACACGCAAGAATGCACGTGTCACAGAGGATCTCGCTGGGCTGCCCCTGGCCCAGGTAGTCTGTTGAGGAGACAGTATGAGACAGTGCTTCCTGTTTTCAGAGACGCGCGAGGTTCCACAGGACTTCAAGTTGGTCCTACTGGCATGGAGTTCCGGTGCACACGACAGGCTGTGAATAGGATGCCTCACCCACACCTTTCAACACATGTTCAGCACATGAGGGCGCAAAGAACCGGAAGCTCTCAACCACCCAGCAGCTCATTGCCAGGGAGTTCATGGTTTGGCATGGACTGCGCATATGATTTGGGCTTAAGATATGTGCTCGATTGAGTACCAATATTCAGAAAGTTCGGAAGCTTTCTACTATCAGCTATTCATGGTGCTACTGTCCTTGACACTATTCATCAAGATACTCGTGCCTATACGACATTTCGGGCGTTCTCACCAAGTCAACCAGAAGAAACTTATTCAATGCTTGCAGCGAATCGTTTTGGTCTTAGATATTTGTGGGGCTGTGTATCCGAGAGACCTGATCTGCTGCCATCTCCCTGAGCACCTGTCCGGGAGCTTGACGGCGAAACAATGTCTAACACCACTGACGCTATGGGCGAGGGCCTGTGCGTTTGGGTCTGCTGGCGTTGCTTTATGCCAAATATCGACATCCTGGGTCCCAGAGAAACTCTGAATCCCACAGCCTTTTTTGGCCACCAGGTACCTCCAAAGCTGCATGCCAAGCGGGCAGTGCGGCACAGATGGCGGCGACGGTGCCCAAAATGACAACCTTAAAAAGTCCCACATGGAGTGAGGAGTGTTGCCAGAATCCCCAAAGCATCTCTTCACTGACTCAGACTGAAACGCATACGTAAGCCCGTAAGATCCTGTAAGCGTAACAGGAGAAAGTGTTCCCATGGAGCCTCTGAGCTCAAGGTCTTGGCAAAGGACTTAGAGGCACGGCTAAAGCCTGTTCTCTTTTAACGTTTGTTGGTCTGAAAAACTTCAGGGTCGAGAGCTGTAGGAATCAGAGCCTGTAGATGAGACTGTCGGGAACTTTGTGGCGAACTGCTGCAATGATTCCTGCCGGAGCACTTTAGCGAATCCTGACCATCATCAACTTTCTGATGCAGAACAAGCGTCGTTCTGCCGAATGCGCGCAGAGGCCATGCGACTCCGACAATCCAAGCCTGCCTGACCGAATTACATGCAGGAGCTTGATCGGCATGATTGGTAGGGCTGGGCTGGGCTCACATGTCGCATAAGCTGCATCTTGCTGTCTGAAGAAGCAGAGGCAACTCGGTGGAGATTGTTGGAGCAGTTGCACACACACGTTGGCAAGAAATGGCACAAGATTGACACAAAGGTTGGCAAACAAAAAATGTACACAAGGGTATGAAGATTGTGTATGTGTGAGAGGCTGCCGGCTCTCGAAGTGGAAGCCCTCCCGGGAGCGGTTCGTTCATGAAGGCATTTGCTAGCATACGACGATCTCAAAACACTTTTTCTCATTCACTTCTGTATACACCCCTTGGATTCAATGCACGCATCTACTCAACGCCAGCATTCCACATGCCAGAGGTGAGGCACAAAGTGAAGAGCTTTGTCATACCGTACCTTTGGAGCGCTTGGGGTTCCATTGCTCTACAAAACGAGGCCCGCCGAGGGCCGCCGGGCGGAACCCTGGTGCACACGTCCCAATTTCCCCCCGCTGTAAACCGTGTGAGCGTGCCTTTGCGCAAGCACTCCAGCAGCTTCAAGTCCCCAGTACTTCCCCTGAGTCTTTTCGGGCTGACCCTAACCCTTATGATTTGTGTGTGTTCAGCTCTTGATCTTCCCGTTCTGCAGATGTGATATGGCATCGTGGGGTCAGAGTCGGGGGAGGCCCTCCGAGTCGTGAGTGCAACTTTCAAAGTTCAAGCTCTTGCTAGAAAGCTCTGTCAAATTGCAAAAGAAGTCCCGCTATTATTGCAAGAGAGCCAGAGCGCCCCAAACCCAAACAAGTAGCCAAGAACTGCACAAGTGCGTGAAGACCAGTCGGCCAAACTCTCTGGTAACATTCTGACACACCGCCCTTTACCCTGACAACTAAACAAGACGTCGCAACGAGACCTTCCAAGCCGGCGTGCAGTGATGGCCACAAGCGCTCATCCTCAACTTCCCAAGGATGCCCCACAAATTTAGTCTTTCGATCACGAAAAACCAGAAATACAGCCATCATTAACTGAAGTCGCTCCACTCCGCGGTAGCCGGTGTTTGAAGATGGCTTTAGCTAATTTGGCAGATAGAACTTCTGGTTTGGAGCCTAGACTCAGAACAGCCTTTAAAGGTTCGACTGCAGCTGAGGCACACCGCCGAATAGCACACCACATCCTGCCGGAGGCCTGGTAGGCTTGAGGCGCGAAGCCATCAAGGCTTAACTCTTGGTGCTTATGCATTGCTACCATTGCGCCAGAAAGGCAGAAAGTCTATCCTGACTATGGACTTGGACTTGAACTGGGAGGACCCACGGCTTCGGGACTCGTGGTGGAAACTGGATGCAACTAGGCGGCCACCGTTGAGCAACGGCATCGCTGCCAGCCTGATTTTTGTTGAGACATGTTTGAGCTCGAGTTCCCAAAATAGTGCAACTGACGGCGATGGTCTAGGGTCTAGGGCCGGGTCTAGGGCTCACAAAGGGATGAATGGGTTGAGGAAGGAGTCTTGCCGTTGGTCCCTATGGCCCTAAGCCGAAACATTTATTCACCACAACGAGCTGAACCAAAAAATTCACAAGCCGTACATCTGAAAGCCTAAGCAACTCAAGCCGTTAGCTCCACCTGTGTCTGCAAACTGTTGCTAGTGTAAGGATGGCCGAGCCATAGGAGCGAGGTTCTTTCATCGTAGGCCCTCTCAGGTATGCAGGACCCCGCCCAGTGCTGTCTGACCACCAGAAGAAAGCTTTGAGAGGAAAGATCTAACCGCTTGGTGTTGCGTCTGAACAAGCAGCTGTGAAGGACTCCATGAAGTAGACAATAGCCCCGAGCATTCTTGGTTTACTTTGAGGGCAATGGGTCCTTGCTACTCTTCCAGTGTTGATGTTACTGTACTCCCAACCAAACTTTACAAACTTCACGTGGTAAGAGAAGAAGCTGCGAAAGCTTTACAAACCTGTAGTGTGTCATTACCAACAGGATGCCCTTCATACGTCATTCGACATGTGCGTGCGAGTCTGGTGTGCTTCCAACATTTGAGGTGCTGGCTAGTCTCATCCAGCCTAAGCCCTGCTCGCGGGCATTGTCTAGCTAACGCCTAATCCAAGACCAGCACTTCAGATAAACCAAATGGGACGAGCAACAAGCCCAGGCTTCTGCGCCAGCCTTCCTGCAACAACCCCGAACGGTTGAAGGTTGAGGTCTTCTAGGATTGCATTTAGAGCAACGGCTACTTAGCGTGATTGCATCTGGCCAGCCTTAGCTTAGCACCAGAAACCTTGGGCCCTGAACCCGGACTGAAACGCGGACTTTTTACATGACAGTTCACAACATGGGCTCCTGGGTTTCGGAAGCTTAGGGCTTAGGGCCTAAAGTAAGTACAACAGAATGTGAGGTCTCAAGGATTCTGGGTAGGGTGTGTAGACTTTGGCGCGTGCAGGGTTCAAACCAGACAGCTGCAGTTCCTTCTGACGCTTCTAACGGCTGAACTTAGGCACGTTCTTGGAATTCCTAGAATGTAGACAAGCAACTTTAAAGGAACTTCAAGATGATGTGTCAGGAGGTTCAGGGAGTGCAGGCCTTTGAACAAACCCAAGCGAATGCTCCTCTGCTGCCTCGCCTGCGCGCATGACCTTCAGGCAATGAAGTGATCAGGATATAGGGGCTAGAATCGTGAGTAACATTCTATGAGGTTCAGGAAACTGCGAATTTCGTAGGTTGCATACCTGTTCGGTGATACCCCGGCACTTGTCGCAGCCACTACCTCATTACCAACACATTGAAAATTGAAGACTCTGTCGAACCGGCGCGGGCTGTCATACTTTTATATTGCAACATTGCAGCACTTTGAACCTTTGCCTTCAGCGCAGCACGTCTAAACAACATGCAATGCAAGCACGCTAACTGCGGTCTCAAAAACCTCCCAACCGCAAGTTGTCAAGACTGCTGTTCAATCTCAGGTTGCCCAAAGTGTTCTCCCATGCGCTGAAAAACTCCCCAACTCTGGAACCCAAAGCCTCCAGAATCTTCAGAATCTCCAGAATCCCCTTCAGACCTCAACCTTTGAAGCCTCGAGCTAAGGCCCCATCCGCGCTCCAACTCGCAGCAGTGGCCTACCCGTGGTATCAGGAATCACACTGTGGCTTTCGGCACTTAGAGTTGCAAGGTCGTGCTGAAGAATTGAGGATTTGAGGTTGGGCAAAGTGCTGGCACACCCTGCTGAACTCTCCAAACTTCTATCACTCCTGCGTCGCTGCGCTGCTTGCTCAGTGAATCAGGCTGTTGCAAATAGCAGCTGTGTGCCGTGTACAGTGGAGTGTACAGCATGCTTTGCACGGAGGCTCCAGACATTTCTGCAGAATTCAGCGGCAAACTTCCGTTCCGAAGAACACTGCATCCAAACCCTGCAGATTGATTGCAGGCATACGTCAGGGGTTCACAAGTTTAATGCCGGTAATAGGATTCTGTACATTGCCTAAAATTTGCCACCCTCCTAGCCAAACCTTTGCAACAGGACATCTCCATGCATCGGACACCTCCTCACAGCTGCGAAGCATCGCGACTGCGCCGCGCCAATGTCGGTGGCTCGCGGCAGTGATTGCGTAGGTGGTGCCTTGGATACAAATCAGGGGGAGTCTTGGGTGGGCTTGAGGATCGACAGCCTGACTTCGGGGTCAGGGTGTCGGCTCCGAAGCCGGAGCGTTGTGAGTTCTTGGGCGGCTCAGCTAAGGTGCAAAACGGTTGGCTCTCCACAGCTCAGGGAACCGATGCTCTCGCAGCATGCAAGGAGATGCAATGAAGCGGAATTCACATACTTAGGAAATCTTAGGAACAAGAAAGAAGCCCTCGGCCCATGGTCAAGAGCAGCCAGCGACCCTTCTTTCTAAAGCACCCGCATATGACTTCAAGGTTGTTTCCGAAGTCATGCTACACTCAAATTCTGCTGCCAGATCTGCTGAAGACGTCTCGCTGGGCGCGTCGGGCTGCCATGTCGTCCAGGAGGATGAGGACAGGCTGAGTCAGGATATGAATTGGGGCCCACGGTTCTCGAGGTTGCGGACTGCGGCAACTACGGGCAAGAAGTCCCCAGATGTAATCCGAAGCTGCGAGATGCCCTGATCTCGAACTTCTCTGAATTTGGCAACTTTTGGCTTTGGGGCTGGCCTTCCAGGCCCGTCCTTGAGACCAGCAAGCCATGGCTCCTCGAACACGAGGGATTACGCATCAAAATGAACTGAACATGTACATGTATACATGGCTTATCTGCATTTAGGTATTTTTGATTATTTTTGTAGATCATGACAGAAGGGAAGTTGTTGAAGTTTGAGAACATGCACTGATGTGCGGCCCTGGGGTCGGTTGAAGCCGATCTGCGGATGAAAGCTGCCATCCGCGCAGGACTCGAGGAGCCTGAGCAACTGGGAGCTACCTTCGGGGGGACCTTGGAGACTCTCACAAGGCTACTAAGGTTCTCGTCAGATATCTACAGCTGACCGTCAGGGGATGCAAGGAAACCTGAACCCAAAACTCTAATAGGCTTTAGGGTTTCTTTAGGGAGCACCCCCACCCACACGTCACAGGAGTGTTATCCCAAAAACCCTGCGAAACTCGACCAGGGACTCATGCAGAGTCGTCTGCCACCTGTCTGCGCTCGGCCGTTGCATGGCATGGGCCCAGAGGAGTTGCGTCGTTGAAGGCTCGTGGCTTCAAGGGCTTTGCGATCCCGGTGCTCGGGGCGGATCTAGGGTTTTCATGGGGGTCAGGGTTCGGAGACGTTGCGGCTCGCGCGGCGTCTTGCTTGGTTTGAGGTTCAGGGCCCAGGGGCAAGTATGCCTCCCAATAAGAACGCTGCGCCGCTGCTTGCCGCTCGCAGGTCGAGCCCTCAATCACAAATCCAAAATCACTGAGCACACCAAACATCCGACCCTGCAGGTTCGACTCTTTGATGCACAAAGCCCACTTTGCATCAACGCTAGAGGTTTCGGGATTCGAGGCTTGCTGCTCGACTCGTATATGCGCCATGGACCTCTACGGATAGGTTGAGTCAGGCCTTGCTTGTAATTGGTACATTATGTGCTGTGAATGTAAGCAGTTCTTTCGGAGCGTGCGCTCCATAACATACGACAATCAAGAGTTGATTTCGCCACAACATACAAAATCAAAACATCTCATTGTTGAGTTGCAAAAACAGAACCGCATGAAGCTAAGGTCAGATCCTTTGTGACCGGCAACCACCTTGGTCGAGTTATCGAGTTAGGCCCTAAGGGTTCTGAGTTTGAGGAGTTTAGGGCATAGATGGCATACAGGCTTCGATGAGGCAACCTAGGGGTGTTTGTAAGTTGGCCTGTGCCTTTGCAAACCTGTCCTGCTGCCATGTGCAAAAGGCCAGTATGCACGAGAAACCTGAAACCCTAAACACATTGCCGGATTGCCGGAGCTACGGCCCTGTCTCATTGCTGCCCATGCTGGATCCCTCCGTTATAGGGGATTTTGTTTCAATTAAGCCCTTTGCAAGACCCCCTGACACCCCAAACTGAGATCCCAGGTCCTTAAGTCCTGCCCTCAAAGCATATCAGTCCCTGAGTCGGCGGCCAGCTTCCCCTGCGCTCCAGCGTTGTGGGGCTGGGGTTTACTCTTTCAGGCTGATGAACTCCGGCTGGCCGGCAGGGCTGATGCAAGTTTGCCAAGGGCTTGGAGTGCAGGCAGAGGTTTGGCAATTGCCCAGACTCCCCCTACGGGAAACCTTAAAGACTCCATATTGCAGCGGAAGGTATTAAATTACATCGATGCAAATTCCGAAGCCTTGTGCTGTCGCTATGAACTATGTGGCTGAACACAAACATTCCACGATGTCCACTTTTATGATTCGACTACACCAGGTTGCTTTCCGAAATCCCAGGCGCAATTCTACCCTCAACCCACCGAGAGTCTAAGTCGAAAGCCTGTGGTCCCACAGTAGCTGCTTCTGGCCGGCAGCCCTGGCCAGGCCCGACTCAGCCCTAACTCCAACAGACTTACCTGAACAAGGGTTTCGAGGGTCGAGCTTCCAATTGTAGGTTTTGGGATGCATTTGCGGGAGGGGTGTTTGGCTTCGATCAATGACGGTTAGGGAGCTGCTAAAAGCCCTGGGGGGGGGGGGGGGGGGGCGTTACCGTGTATCTCTTGTTCTTGCACGTTGATCATGTGCGGGTGCGCTTGCATCTACGACGGAGGCTCCGCAACGGGTTGATGTCACAGTATTCGTCCGCAAGTTGCCACAGATGGCAAACCTCAAGCACAAATCCGCAGCTGCATTGCGTCGCCGCGTTGCGGTGCTTCGATTGCACACTATACCCCCACAACCCCTCTACATACCTTGAACCCTAAACTGCACACGCCCCAGTTCAAATTTGACACGAAGCCGCAAGAGATATGACCATTGGACCATCGCCTTATTTTGCGCGCGCATGTAACTTGAAACGATAGGGGCAGGGGCACCTATCGACTGTTAATTGCTCCTGCCCTAGCCTCCTGATGCAAAAGAACAACAATTCCCAAACAAAGCTCCACTCAAAAGAAATCTTGGCTGGTGAAATCCCTAAACCTTGGGTTCGGCCGGTCCACACTAACAGTCACCACCAGCAGACCCACAAATAAAAGCACCCGGTAAATGCCAAAAAATTGACTGAGATTCCTGCTATTCCTGGTGCTATTCCTGGTGCTATTTCTGGTGCATTTTTTTGTGCTATTCCTGGTGCTATTTCTGGTGCTATGTTTTGTGCTATTCCTGGCGCTATTTCTGGTGCTATTTTTTGTGCCATTGTTTGTGCTATTTCTGGTGCTATTTCTGGTGCTGTTGCTGGTGCTATGTGACTAACAGTCACCACCAGCAGACCCACAAAAAGAAGCACCCGGTAAATGCTAAAATTGACTGGGATTCCTGGTGCTATTTTTGGCCTGTGTGTTATAAGGCCACGGCGTTATTTGACTGTTAGTGTGGACCGGCCGAACCCAACCTAAACCGCGAAAGCCAGCGGTGGAAGCAAAGTCGAACCCCAGAGACATCAATCAGGAATCGTTTCAAGGACCTGCGGCAGTACCACTGGCAGCTCGCATGCAGCCGCAATCGGCCTTTTCACGGTTCCAGCAGGTTGTTGTTTTGCATTGAAGCATCATTTGGGCTATACTGATTTTTGCACAGGGCATGTACCAGGCTGCGTGGCAACAGAGGGGTCGAGAGTGTTGACTCTGCGTCTTTGAGTCTTTGCCTCTGTAAAACCTGCTAGCCTGTCACGCTAAGCCCCAACTTGAAAGCCTCAAAGCCGTGCCTCACAAATGCCAGGCCCAGCCCAGCGATGTGCCAGGGCCCACCTGGGCAAACTCTGGGAAGGGGTTGAAGAGTTGTAGCAACATTTATAGAATATTTATAGAACATGCAAAGTACATTTATAGCCACCAGACCCAGCAGCACCCGTGTCATCCCAAGTCCTTTCGCAATGTTGCCTTGTATTCCCAGGGCGGCAAGGCCATCGTGCACTAAAGTATAGCAACGCTGGTTGATGTGATTGATGTGGCAAGTAGCCTGAGATGCGTCCCAAATAGAATGTCAATGTCAAGAAGCTCCGCCCTGCGAACTTGAAACCTCAATCCCTCACCGTGAGCGGTCGAAAAAAAAACACCTGTTTGGACATTGTTGGATGGTTGAAGCCTCCCCACGAGCGTCAACATGTGCATGGCTCACTTCATGGGAGTTTCAACTAGGCCCTAGGCCACATGGCCACACCACCACAGCCGGGGAAGCACAGCTTTCTTAACATTCAGAGCAAAACCCAAGGCTCAAGCGCAAACAAGCATTACCACATTCCTAGCACCCCAAGGTCGCTGAATTGACAAGGCCTGTCAGCTCTTGAGCTGCCCCTTCTTCCCCCCCCCACCTAAGCAAGAAGTCATCCAGGAATCCCGGCATCTCATCTTACCTGTTGTAGAGAGGCAAGGTTGATAGACTCCGCATCTTGTTTGTTGTTGGCCGCGTTGGGATTTGGTGTGCACACTCTCCGATACACAACTTGGGGCTTCGATTGTCAGATATGCGTGCTTGAAGGATCCTGAGTAATCTCAGCCTTCAATCAGAGGCAGCAAAGGCGAAACCCTAACCATGCAAACTCTTCTGAGACATGCGCACAGACATGTTTGCCCGACAATGGCAGGGAATCCATGTAACATGTAGCCGTGCAGCCATCCCTTGACGGAAGTCTAGCCTCAACCTCGTGGGTTCTTTTCCACGGGAGTCGCGGCATTTTTCCTCGTTCCATGCAAGCCTGCGCTTGCCAGCTCCCAGCACGGCCCGGCCTCCCTCCAGCCCCTGCTTCTAACTCTCAACTCCAGTTTCCCTTAAGGTACACTTCGCTCAACAGGTTTGACCTTGGGTTGCTGGATTCCAGGTTTGGGGTGAAGCTCTCGGATTTTCAGCTTTGAGATTTCGGGCTTCAGGGTGCGGCCCTGTGTTTCGTTTTAGGTACTAAAACGCCCCTAAAACTGCAACCCGCGAGATTTGTGGCAGCTGACTTGCTTCAGCGATCTTGGGTAGAACCCTGAAGAAATCGAGGGTCGAGCAGTTTTGATGCAACTGTGCGTTTGTCAGTGCTGTCAGTGCTGAAGCTTGAAGTTCTCTAGTCCTGGCCCACATCTTCAGTTTGCACTAGGTGCCTGAGGGAATGCAGCCTGCAGCACGCCCTCTGACCTCTTTCTGTAGATGGTCGGGAGACCTTGCTTAAACCATTTGGAGGAGCATCTGCAAAGCTGTAGTTCTGCAAAGCATGAGTGCTGACATGCCTGACATCAAATCACCAACAACATATGCATCATATACACTTACCCAAGAACAAAGCGTAACTCGAGAAACAGTTGGCAAACTACAGCTTTGGGAAGCGCCCTCCGATGTCCGGAAAAAACGGAGAGTAAGAGGCTCACGCCTCCACTGTGAAAATTGAAAACCCTAAAGCACCTTGGCTGCAGGCCGTCGAAGGGTTCAGAGTAAGTAAGGCGCACGCGACAGCCAGCTTGGCCATGACTGTTCTGCTTAAAACCTTAAAACCTCAAAATTTATCAATCCCTGCACCTGGAGGGGATGGAGGTTTGAGGAGCAGTTTCCAAGTTCGGATGACTGAATGTTGAGTTGACTGAATAAAGACGCAGAAGCAGGCTCAGGCTCTACACTTGGGGCCTAGCCTCCGAATCCTGAAATCTACGAGCCCAAGCCTGCCTAAAACAATAAACACAGAACCATTGGTCCATGAGCCCTTCATCCAGGAGGCCATGCGCACTAGCGCAAAGTCTCAGTAGACTTCCACATGATAGCGGTCCGCCTTCGAGGCTTCAGGCTGAAGGGTTAGGCATCTTTCCACACGGGTTTTAGGGTCTAGGGCTTGAGTTTGCTTGGGGGTTTGGAGGCCAAGCTGCGAGATCTCTGTCTGCCTCTACAGATGCTTGAGGCCACATGTACTCTTGCGCGAAAAACAAGTCAAGCCTTTGTCGTCACAACTTCGGCTGCTGATGCAACTGACGATACGCTGCCCCCCTCCTTCCTTCCGGGGATGTAGCCCGGAAATTTCGGCTTCGCTTAGAATGTTGCGATTGTGCTGGAAGTAGCGAATGAGGTCGTGATGTGAGTGGATCCGAGTGCGTG